TGTATTCACTCTTCTGAGAAATAAGCAAATGAAATCGTGCCATACTATTACTAATCATTTTTGTTCGTCACCAAACTCGCGCTTCAACAACAAACAAAAAACATGTCTTTTTTTTCTAATGAAACTAATCGTCATCAATCGATGATTGATTGGATTCTATTGTTTTCATTTGCCCGAAAACACAATGGGGGAGGAAACGGATACAATTGAAAGCGAAAATTCCCAATAAAAGTCTCTAAATGGGCTTGCCTCGCGTCACGAGAGATACGCTGCTCGAGGCGTGAGTATAAATATACGTACATACTATACATACCGCAACTTTCTGCAGGTATACATGTATATAAACCCAATAAGGAAGATCTAGGAAAATAGCCCCAGGGTCGAGGGACGCCCAGGACCAGCAAACCAACACACCGTATACATGCTGAGAATTTCTCTAAGTAACCCGGTTTTGCTCTTTTTTTTCCCCGATCTCGGGGATAATGCTATTGATTTAACTCGGTTTTCCTCAATTGCAGGATATTCGGAGGAGATTGGGTGAAAAATGAAGAATTTTAAGTTGTAAATTTTTACACACATTTTGTTAATTAAAAGTACAGGTACTACAGGGCATTATATTTACGCAAAAACCCGGTCCAAGAACAAGAGAAAAGTATACAAACAAAGACAGCAAAAGAAATTGTACATACACCAGACCGATACGTGTATATGTACAGAGGAGGTCGCGAGCGGCGCACCCGAAGAAATAAACCGCGGTGGTGGGGACAAACACAATAATTACTATCTCTTTATTTGGCCGCGCCGGGGCGTTTCTCTCTCCGCGACGCTCCCTTCCTCCCCCGTATACGTGTATATCCTTTCGGCGGTTGCCGCAACACACACACACACACACAACCGTGCGCCTGCAACCCGACAGCAGAGAGACGCAACGACAAACGCAACCGAGATGGGGTGAGAAAGGGAAGGCCTCCTCCAGCCCAGAAGTTAATAAAATCGCAGTCGCCCAGCCAGGCCTCCGGCAGGTTTGTTTAACAGAGGCGTAGCCGCGCCACGTGCCTTTGCTTTTATCCCTCGCTTTGTCTATGCTATGACGTGACTTTGATATGATGGCTGCTGATTGGTGTCTGTCTGTGCTTTTTTTTTTTTTTTTCTCTCTGGGCTCGCTTAATTTTATGATTTTTGCGCGAAAAACATAAAAACAAAACTCCATTCGTACGCGTCCGTAACGAGTTTTTCCATCGTGGTTTTTTCGCGCGAGTCTCGTTTTGACCCGGGGAAAAGAGATCGAGTTGGGCTGTTCAATTGAATGTTTCGAGGTAAAGGGATACCGTAGCGATTCTTCCTCGTGATGATATTTTGCATTCTGCATCTCCGATTCGATGAGCAGGCACGAGCTTAGCGAAAACGCCCCATCGGGAAAATTCGCGCAAAATGACGGAGGAGCCGAAAGGAGGGTGGATGGGAGTAAAGAGCCGAGCTTGCACCGCGAACAGAGAAAATTTATCTCGCGCTGGCATAAAGGATGAGACGGAAAAAGGAGGGAGGTCAGCTGCAGCAGGAACAACAACAATGTCGACGACGACTCTTCTGGCCTCGGGGGCCAATAACGACGTCCCAGTGCCACCGCTGTGGTGGCATCTATCGCCCCCTTTTTTTTTCCTCCCCCCCCACCTTCCGGATGGCGCGCACCAAGCTTGCCTTTCTCGCTCTGATTCGGCTGACACTCGGTGTTTTGACACTGTGGTTTTTTTTACTTTTTTATTTTCTGACTGATATTATTATCCGGAGCTCTGGCCTCCCGCCGCTTCGGCAACTTGATTGGAAACAACCTACGCGTGTACAAAAGGAATAACGCCGGGTGCGGACCGATTGCTCGCAGGTGCCGCTCATCCACGCTCAAAGCTAGCTTTTGCACGAGCTTCCCACGGATTTGCTACGTATACGGACGAGCCTATAGGGTATATACGTTTATTGTTGATGCACCCCGAAATTACGTACCCGTTTTTACAAATATCGCCTCGATTTGCGAAAAGGCTCCTTTGCGAGTACAGCCCCTCATAAAGCACAGGTAGGTACAATAGAGTACAATGCGAGTACCCGTGCTGATATACCCTGTGAAATTATTCCAGCGCGTGTCTTTCCTTTGCCTGGCGCCAAAAGAATCCTCGCGCGCGAAGCGTATCCATTCACGGAGTAAGTACCAGCCGGGAAGAGGCCATCAGCATACAGGGAGACAGAAGGTATATATACATACGTATATGTACTTACGTACGGAGGCGCCGCCGGCGCGTCAAATGGCCCACCTATACGCTCTCCATCTTTTTCTCCCCCGCTTGTTTGATCTTTCGCGAGAAATCGGTTCGCTGGCTCCATTGTGCCTTGTAAGCACCCGTGCAATGGTAATGCCCTTACGCTCCCAGGAGATCACGGCTCCTTATCTGTGTCTCCTCGCGTCCTTTTGGCTGGCTCTTTCTATTTCTTTTCTTATTTTCCCTTGCAGATTCGATACGCCCGTGCGTGTGTGCCCTTCGTCCCTATTGTGGCGACAGCGTGCCCTTTTATTCGCTCACCTCGGGCCCTCGTCTGATATGGCAATTACCCCGTGACTTTTTCCACACCCCCCCCCCCCTTCGACTACTCGGGGAGTAAGTAGTCTCGTTTCTGCCTTTGTCGGATGATATAGAGTTGGCGACGAAAGCGCGTGGGTGCTGGGAGAGCTGCACATGCTGGGCTTGGACGTTAATGACGCGTACACGCGATGCGCTCAAAGTGCCTTTGGCGAGAATTAAAAGTCACACGAGCGCTTCTTTTGTGGGCTTTTCTTTTTGCGTTCGGTCACTTTGTCGCGGATTGTAGAGGATGAAATTACGCGTGATTATTTGGATCGTATAGCGAACCCGCCGTTGCGCGAATCAAAGTATGTATGGAGAAGGACGCACGGGAAAAAGCTGTATTTCGTTGAAATCGGAGATTTTACGAATGGGTGTCTGCAATTACGTGGATATATATGTATATTTTTTTAACAAGTTAGCAAACCTTGGTACGGAAATACAAATCCTTGAGGACACGGATAGACGCACTTTGGAATTTTTAACGAGCCGCCGTGCGTATTAGGATTTCTTTCATCTTGGACATGAAAGTTGAGTTTTGCCGTGAAAAATAAAAATTGAATTCACGGAATCATCAGGATTTTCAATTCCGAGTTCTGGGAAAACGGACCGGTGGCTTTTCAAAGTTATGTTTATTTTTTTTTAACGAGGATGCTCATTTTACGGAAGGTTTAAGGATATTATTTGCTGACAATAAAGATTGATAGATAAATTTATTGTGTCGAAGTACGCGTGAAAACTACAGTAATGGTGCCATTTCACAGATCGGCGCTAGTGACGAAATTAAGTCTAATGCAAAATAAAAGAAAAAAAAAAAAAAAAAAACGCATCTATAGAAATTATTCATCGTCATCACTCCCCACTGAGCACGAGAGAGAGGGAGCATCTTGTCGCGTGTACAAGTACGGGTGCACGTGAAACCCGGCCGCGGGATTTCAACTTTATCCACGCTTCATTAATTCGCGTCGTCGACCGCTTGTTGAGAGACTATTTTGTGCATTAGATACGATTGGTCCTTTATTCCGCTCCATTACCTCGAAATTCAATTGTACTTTGAGCTCTCGCATCGGTAATAACGAATCTATATGTACATAAAATAATGGCAATTTCTTACGTTACCGGCGATTGAAAATTTCACAGCCACTCGCTCCAATCTAATGCTAATCGTCACAACTAATTGTCCCTTTCGATTGTCCCCATGTTCAACGGCCGCAATTTTTAATACTCATCCCGACTTACATCTCCAGCTGGACCGATAAATAACAAAAAAAAAAAACCCAATATAGATTTGTTCGCGCTACGTTCCCAAGAGATTATTCTCATAAGCAAAATACATCCATGTATATCCAAGTCCCTCCGAGTGACCCGGAGAACATTACCTGAACAAATATCTATAATGATTATAGATATTTTGCATTCTCAGCTCTCAACAAAATATTATCCACACGAGAATCTGTCGCCATGAAAATCAGCTGGTCGTACCATGGTTGAGCCCGTGGGGAAAAAAAAAAAAAAAAAAAAGGACGTGAGAAAAGGCACCGTACCAACCTTGCAAGTAAATATACATGTACAGGCCACCGGGCGGTGCGTCGCGAGCTAATCGGCGTAACCTCACTCGTCTCGGGAGGGTTAAAACGAGGAGGAAAGCGAGAATATTATCCACAGCACGGAGTCTTACGGCAACGGCCCGGGGGGTGGGGTGGGTTGCATTAACGTGCTCGTTTTCCGAGCTATCAGGGGTGGCTGAGGTTTGTGGTGGGGGGATACTGCTGTCAAAGCCGAGACACTCCCCGCCCAGGGTGTATATCGTTCATTCAGCAGCCCCTCCGTGGCGAGCTGCCGGTGGTGGTGGGGTTGGAGGCCAGCCATTGGAGCACCAGCTAATATGGCGGCGTCGGCCCGTGCTACTCTTGTTTCGATGGGCGCAGGAATACAGTGGGCTTGGGTTGGGAGCAGAGAGATAGACAGAGAGAGAGGGAGCGCCTTTTTCGTGCGGGAACGGAGGGGGACTCGGCGTGCGCTTAAGGGCTCGTGCGAAGCTGCCGATCTAGCCAGTGCACGTTGAACCGTCGTTGCCGTTGATACTTGCAGTTGTTGTCGCGCGGCTGTACTGTTCGAGGACTTGTGGGACGTCGTGGTTGTGGGTAATCGTGTTGGCTTGGAATTAATTTTTTGCATATTGACAGTAGTGGTGTGCGCAAGTGACATTTTTCTGGTTGTTTTGTTACTCCGTTATCAATGTGCAGAGGACGAGGAGGACGTTTGTCGAGCTAATGGAAAGGACCAAGTTTTTTTCTGTAAAATATTGACGACAAAGTACCTTCTGCTTTTTGCTCCGGAGAAACAATAACAGCACGAGAATATTGGAGACGGTTCGAGGGGGTGGTTACGATGGCACAGACTTACAATCAAAAGAGGAACGTCTACAGCATCGATCAAATTTTGGGACACGCCAAGAGTGATGGTGAGTACTTTTTTTTTTTTTTTTTTTAATTTAAATAATCTCCGTATTTTTGTTTATAAATAACGTGTTAGTTGTTTTAATGACAAAAAAAAAAAAGCAAATTTGTTAACTGTACAAAGCTAAAATGAAAGCAATGTAGATATTATTAACTGCTACGACAATTATCTGGTATAAAATTGTAGAACTGTTATCTATTTCAGCAGAATGACCTTGATTTCGGTGCTTTACAGTTTTTTTTCTACACACAAATCAGAGACCGTTTATGTTCACTAAAACATACTTAATTTATATAATTGGTATACTTGCACTTGGTAAGTTTATAACCGCATCGCAGCGTAATTTACAATAAACGATTAATCGGAAATTATTAATCAAAACTCCATTCGAATCAATAATATTTAAAACAATTGCATCATACGACCACAAATGGTGCCACAAATCAACCGCAGCTTTCGACACCACGAAACTCTAACTTTCAGCCGCACATGTGAGCACTGCAGTTATCGTGAAAAAAAAAAAAAAAAAAAAAAAAAAAAAAAAAAAACACCACCAACACTATCGGTGGCTAATCGATAACGTATCAAAAGATAATAGCTCTGCAATCTCTGCTCATACATTTTCTGACGCTCGACGCTATGCACGACCTAGCTACAATGTATACGCACAGCTGTAAGTCGTGTGCGCCAGAGAGCACGTGGCTCTGGGCGCGCGCAACTCTTGTATATACTTACTTACTTACTGGGGTGTATGTGCAGAGCGAGTGTTATTCACGATGGTAAATTTGTGTTCAAAGAAATAAAGATAAATGATAAAACTGCATGTAGCGGTGATTCGACAGCCGAGCAAGTAGTAACGTCAGATTTTAGTCAGACGGATTTATTATCTACGAGCGCGGCTTGTGTAGGAGCGAAATTATCGTTTATTTTTGTTGGATATGCTAATTTTAAAAGTATTCAAATTTAAGAATCATGCAATGTACGTATTTGCTGCTAATAGCAGCGATGCGGTGAAAAATTAAGTAGTACGAATCTGAGTTTAGTCAGACTCATTTGTAATTAGCGTACACAAGGTGTGTACTTGTATACTTATCGGTTTTGGGTTATTGAATGTATTCAAATGTGTATCGTACGACCAGTGAAAGGTAGTTATTTATCGAATAAGTAGGTACCTAAAAATTTGATTTGGGGGGTCACCAGGCATACGAAATTTAATGTCATTGAGACACGAAACCAAAGTTGGAGAAATAACATGTTTGGAAAGCATTGTTGCTTTGTTTTGTTTATTTAAATAACTGATGTAGAAAATTACACAATTAATATAATTCATCAGAAGCATTAGTCTATCAAATATACATTAGATGAAAGCGTGCATCCTAGGAATTGATTGTAGTGACAAAATCATCTTAAAAACTTACCTAAAAGCTGATGTGTCATTTAACGCAAGAAACAAAAATCCGGAGATTATGATTCATTGTATTTTAGACTGGTCTGATGATACGAAAAGTTTAACGACTTTCTCGCACAGCACATTAGAAATCAGGGAGAGTATAAAATTATTGTATTCCTTGACTCTGTGTCTTTCCGAGATGATAATTGAAATTCATCCCAACTATTAATATCATTCTGTACATCAAAAATCTTTTTTCATTATCCAGATGTTTATAGTAAATCACAGTAAGATTACATACCCTCACACATACAATCCCTATGTATTGTACTTATAAATAATTCACAGCAGTTACTCACCCACTGAACATCAATAAAATATAAATATCCATCACCATTCGTGAAAAATACACATGCCTCCGTTTCTCGCAAACGCGACCCTCTAAATTCATTAGACGCAATAAAAGCCCCGTTATTCTATGGCTTGTACAAACGCATTATCCCATATTTGTGTGTTAGTGCTTTCGATGTACTATTAGGGGGAAGAATAATGCTGATAATGCGTTTATACAACATCATATACCTTCTCGACCTCGACGTCCCCGTTTCGTTCCCTGAAAAATCCCCCCTTGAAACGCAATAATCCCCTCGTCCGTCTCCATTAAAACACCGTCTTGGTCCCTCAAACTGATTATTAAATAACATTACTACTCGATATAATTTTCATTCATCCCGTGTAACGGCAGGAGAGGAAGAAAAAAAAAAAATCATGGAATCGTGAAAATTGAATGGCTCTTGTTGGCGTGTCGTGGAATCAAGAGAGCAAAAGTCGAGGGTGCATCCGCACATACGCAGCGCCAGCTCTACCCCCCCTTTACGTGCCCGTACGTGCGTGTACAACATTCATCGAGTAGACACTCGTTACCGTTGACCCTCCAACAGGTGCAACGATTTCTGCATCGCATGTACGGAAAACTCGATTTGTTTTTCCTCGCACTGATGATGATTGCTTTCAACGCTCGTTTTCCGTAAGGAGTGTGGATTTTTACCAAATGCTACAATTTTCGTCATTTTTTTCCTACGCATTGAATTTCATTATCGAGTTAATTTTCTCGCTCCACAGCGAATAATCATCGATGTAGTTTCCGTCCAAACACGCGTGGAGTAAAAGCTTTACTCATGATTGGCGTACCTTATTCTGATTCCCCGTTCGACGATTATTATTCTCGTCATCTCCGATTAGTTTACACATTATCGTTTCGAGCTATACGTTATCTTTTATCCTTGCGATTATCATCGTTCGGTAAAAAAAGTATGTTTATTAAAAAAGAAATATTGAACTATAGATTGGAGACCACTTGATGGGGGGAGCGGCCTTTGATCACTTTGACAAAACCACTACGATAAAACATGACATTGTACGGATATAAAGGGGGGAAGAGGTAAGAGTGGCGCAGAGCAAATAAATTTTCAACTCAACGTCTGGCGCCTCTTCTCGTACTTTGCTAACAAACAGCTACAACAAAGTACATGTATGTACACATGGACAAGTACGTAAATGGCGTATAAGGAAGGGTGTGCTTATGCGCGCGCACGTAATCGTAGGCAGGGTGCTGTTGGATAGTACCGATAACAATAATAGTAATAACAACGAAAAAAAAAAAGAAGAGGAGCGCGGAGATTGGCATCGAGTGGGCAAGCCATTGTCGAGCGGCATGAAAACATTAAAATCGCTCTTTCTTCCTCGGGTCGGATTAGCCGCTTGGCCGCCTCGATTTGCCTCGACTCCGTGACTTCTTTTCACTCGTTTCCTTTTTTTTTTTCTTCTTTGTCTCCACGCATGTACGCGTGGATATGCGCCGTTGGTATTTAATCGAGCGATCAATGCGAGCGTGTAATTTGGGAGGCATATATATGCTCACTTTGTTTTACGGTGTGAATATTGGATTCTTTCTGGTCTCATTTTGGTAACTGAGTTTTTTCCAAGACTAGTCCATCCATCGAGTGTACACCTACTGGTTGTACATTAAAACGAGGGGGGTTCGATGAACTGCCAAACTAACGGCTCAACGAGTAAATCAAATAATTAATCAACTTAAAAAATCGTAATTAAATAAACAAAATAAAAAATGAAAAATCAATAAACGAACAATCGTATTCTACCTGGGATATTCTGATGTTTTCATGACCATCAAACCCGTGTCAATTAAAGAGAAAGGGAAATATGATTTCATGAACTTCCATCCTAGCTGGACGACGACTACCACACACTATACAAAAACTCGACATCTGGCTGGTAACGTATAAAGGCCGGTGTAACCCTCACATCACTCGTCGTGCACGTGGGCCAGTCCGTTACAAATCAATTGAATTCACTTGACGGACAGCTTTTAACCCGAGAGTATTGAAAACACCGGAGGCATCGTTTGACTCGCATTTAAAGTCATACAATTGAATTTTGTAGCCGAGAAATCGTATAGGTATTTCGACTCATCGCGCGCACGGAGCAAAAATCAACCCCTAAAAATGTCGTGGATCCCTCGACGGTGCACCAGTGAGTTTTCATCCTTTATTGTATAGAATATGCACGCGCGTAGGCCAAGGGAGCAAAGATGAAAAAACGTTTGGTTTTCCAACGCTGTTTGCCACTCGTTATCGCGTTTGGTTTCACTCAAAAGAGCCGCGCGCGCTCCTAGCGCAATAAATAATAATCCGTCGGCTTCGCGACGCGCACCTACGCCGCTAATGCTATTAAGATCTTATCACCGGCAAAAGCTTTACTAAATATATACGCGCAGAAGCGGAAATTCAGAAGTCAACGGAACACACGCGCTTACCTGCATGTATACGCCCAAAGTTTACCAAAACGATTAACAACGTGAGCGCCTACGCCTTCACCTTCGCCTCTTGATATATTATTCGTCGAAAGGGGCGTAATTACGATGCCCTTGCCTGCGGCAAATGGATTGAAAACGCGATCTGACGTGGATGCGTGTATATATATGCGTATACGCGTGCGAGGTATACCTACTCGTAAATGAAGCTTATATGTACAAAAGTATACATTTCGAGGCTTATTTCAAAGCTGCATTAGCGGCATTCGTTGTATCACATAAGTGATGCGGTAAATTGAGAATGGGACGCCGAGCGTGGAATATATTTGACTAATTAGTTTAGGTGGTACAACGACTCTGCGATTTTCGCGTTTTCGAAGTTGAACTTTTCATTAGGTTGGTGCGTGTGTGTCGAGTGAACTTTCGGGAAGTTGGATCGTGTATTACCACTGTATTGCCTGATGTACCGAGTAGACAATTCAGTTGATCCCTAATTTTTTTTTCCTTTTTTTTTTAATTAACTGAGAAAGTGCTTTGAGATTTTACATGATTCCAGTTGCAATTGCATAAATGGAGGTAATGAGAAATTATTACGCTTGTTTTAGTTTAGTACAGATTTTTTGAAATTAGAGTTTGTGATTGAAATAAATACTTCGAGTAGCTGCTTGAAGTGATTTTTCTTTTTTTATTGAGTGAATAAAATTTAATACGAGATTTTACGGAAAAAAAACTTGTTCTAAAACTATGATGACTTTTTGAAATTATTTTTTGTTGAATAAATAAATCATTGTAAAGCTGGTCGTCTCTTAAATTAGAAATAAGTATGGTTTTAAAACGATAAGATACGTTTTATTCGTCAAACCTCAATAATCCTTATTCAAGAATAATTCAACAAATTTACGCAAGTTTTAATAGTAATAAAAAAAAAGAGAGAAGGAGAGATATAAGTACATTAAATGATGGAAATGGTATCGTAGCGTGATTTAACGCTTATTAGTGATTGGTGAGCGATCAATGCCAAAGAATTCTGGTAGAAGGGAGCGAGAGGAAGCTTTGAATGACGGCGTTCTCGGTTATTACAGCTCCCATTGCAAAGGAGAAAATCCTTCGTTATAATTATTGTACCTGCGTTTTTTTTTTTCTTTTTCCGTAGCCCCGGCAAAGAGAGAGAATATTTTTTCGTTTTCCGATATCTGAAAATCCCTTCGGGGATTACGCAGAGGTGAAGAGAGGCAAGTATCTTATTACGTGACATTTAACGTTTTCCCTCTCCTTTTTGCCGATGATTCGCATTTTTCTCGCTGCATCTAAAGAAAAGTCGTTGGCTACAGAATAGGGTATTATCATAATTGATAAGATTTTTAGGGATACGTCGTTTTTTATTGATAAGCTTACACTTGCCATGAGAAATTTTTTATAACTACATTAATTAATGTCATTCATTTCCTTTATAAAATTTTTTTTATTTATAAGGTGGTGACGATTCGATTGAATTTAATGTGTGTTTCATACGTTACAAATATTTTAGCCTACACCTTTACGTGATTAAAATACTTCAACGATACTTTTGTCACTTTCCTTCATAAAAATTCATGGACATTGGGATCTAATTACGAATAAGCGGATAAACCCTTGATTTCAAAGCTGCTTAAAATGAATTTTGCAAGTTGTCAAAATACTTTTCTTATGTTCCTTACCAATTACATAGAAATTATTATTATTTATAACAATTGAATGAAAATAATAATAATTTTGATGATTATGATAATAATAATTACAACAAAAATAGTAATAAAAATATTAACAAGATTAACAGCATTAGCCTCAGTCACCACACGCACCTTCAAGATCCTAGTTTCAATCTTCTTACAGTCGTTTTCCGATAAACTTGTCGGGACCATCGGTACAGAAGTGCATCACTTTTAACTCGAGTGGAATTCCCTCAATACTTTTCCGATCCACCGTAGAGTAAAAAAGATCCGACGACGCGTCTACGAGATACCCTTCCGAAGTTGGCGAGAAAAAAAAAAATTGACCATCTATACCATGAATACTTTTTCTGTACATGTTCGTTGGTCCTTTATTTTTCATCCAAGCTTATTCGGTCATGCGCTTGAAAAGCTGTTTGCTCGATGCTTGTTGTATTTCAAAGTGCAGACGAGATATGTTTTCGGCCGTTGTATATACAGGTATTAAAAATAATATAAAAAAATACACGCCGACATTGAATGAAATAAAAAAAAATCCTCGAGAACGGTACACGGAGTATTTAAAAAGAATAAACTTGGTACGTTACGGAAAAAAAGAATGAAAAAAAAAAAAAAAAAAAAACGTGTAGAAACAGAAAAAAAGGCAGCTATCGGTAGATATTCGTTAATCGCCGTACGAATACGAGTACACGTAGGGGTGAGCTTTTACGCACCCCGGCTTCGATACCAGTGGTCCATGCATTAAGCTTCTATGCAAAAAAGAAAAAAAAGTTTCACGAAGCTTAAAACTTGGCAAATCCGTTGATCAGACGTCATCGAGAGTTCGTACGCGTGCGCGTCCAAATAGGGGATGTAGGAAGCGTGACTTGAAAAAAATTTCAACGATATTGGAGATTCTCGAAGCTCTTGTTTTTTTTTTTTTTTTTTTTTTTTTTTTTTTACATTTAGTTGAAACAAGAGCTGTAGCGAAAAGTTGATGCGTTTGGTCGATTCTCCCCTGTGACCGGGCAAGCGTCAGAATTCAGACTACTACTGGTTGCTCGTTTTTGTAAAAAGGAAATCACTGTTGCATCGAAATGAATTTCTCACGTTTTAATGAAACTAAACAAATTACACTAAATAATAAAAAAAAAATGATTTATCAACTTAACAAAAAAACCAAACCACAGTAGTAAAAAAAAAAAAAAAAAAAAAAAAAAATGATGTATGCTTCCAGTGGACCAAGCAGCGACGGCGGACGCGCTTGGCTCCCATCACGACCACGGCGACTCGGAGCTCAATCTCAGCGACCACCAAATGAGCGACTCTATCGACCTGAGCGAGTCGGATCGGCCGCGCAAAGTGCGCCGTTCGCGCACAACCTTCACCACGTACCAGTTGCACCAGCTCGAGAGCGCCTTCGAGAAAACTCAGTACCCCGACGTGTTCACGAGGGAGGAGCTCGCCATGAGACTCGATCTCTCGGAAGCTAGGGTACAGGTAAGTTGGGGACAATAAACATTTTTCACTCGTATCATTCATCCGACTATCATCGATCATTACTATCATTCATTTTTAAAATGAGAAAAAAAAAACATGTAGTAATTTCGATCCTTTTTTAATTATTTTATAAATTATTGTGTACAGTTATTTTGTACAAAATCATTAATTATCATTATAATTATTATTTTTAATTTTTTTTCAATGGCATTGGTGTTTACTCGGTGGAAAAACGAATTAATTTGTGAAAGGTGAAAGACCGATTTGTTTAACGGTTCATTAAAATAAACACTCACCAAAAATACCAACGATTGTCCACATGTCTTACTTTATTGATCCAATAACTCGAATAATCGCGTCTAAATTGTCCCGGCCCTCCAACCGAGGAGCCTTTTAAAAGCTCGAGTCGCAGCCAGAAGCTCAGAGAACCCTACGGTCCAGCCAAGCTGGATTTAATAAAACAAGTGGCAAAGTTGCCGGCGCTAACGAGACTCGATAAATCCCCGAAGAGCGCGTCCGGCTCGCCCCACCACCCCACACTTACCCCATCAGCTACACCCAGCCTTTGAAAAGGCGTCGTCGATGCGCAGTGTCTTTCGCATCCCTCCTCTACCGCGTACACACACACATGCACCGCAGCACCAATACACGCGTGCACGTTTTTTTGTTCCACCGTTGTCGTCGACGGCCACTCAACTAATTACGCGCCCATTGTTCCGCAATCCGCGCCCTCACCCCCTCGAGCGCCGTAATTTTGCAAAAGGCGCCCCTGAGCGGATTAATCATATACCGAGCACTCCCCTACCTCCCTCTTACTAGCCGGCCCGCCAAACACTTTGTTATTACCATCGCGGAAAAACGCTGCCACCGAGACTGCTCCTTTTCTCTCTTAATTCCTTTAGCTCTCCCCTTTACCTGTGGTGGCTTGTCGACGTTGAATATTACGGGCTCTGTGTGCGTGGAGGGAATAAAAAAGCAAAAAAAAAAAATATGTGCGGAGCAGTGCTGCAGTGCCGGATCTTCGTCGAGGAGTCTCAATTACGAGCGCGTCCCCTCAGAGATTAAGTTCATTGCCAGAAGTGCGTTTAATCAGGGAAAAAATTACTTCCTGCCGTTTTTTTTTTTCGGCAAAGCTCAGATTTTTCTTTTCAGTGAGTTAACACTGTATCGTTTTTTCTGTCAGTGGAAATCTTTGGTGCATCCGGTCGGCATGTGATTCTACACGTTGACATGGTTTTCTCGATCTCTGGATTTTTTTTTTTTTTTACTTTCAAATAGATACCGTGACGGTTCATAGGTACTCTACTGACGAAGTAGCTTGAAAATACAATTATTTATCCACAAAAACGTTCGTTCATGCTGCAAGAGTACACTCGTGGTTTTTCGCTCGTTCGGTAATCGCCACGTTCGTGTATCACTATACTCCAAAGCAGAGAATCAACAAGTTTACTCCCTGATTTTTTTTCATTTTACGATCCGAATCCAAATATCTCATTTTGACTTCTGAATCACGAGTATCAGTTATTCCCGATGGCTAATATCGCTAATTACGTGTAAATCAATCTGAATGTAAAAAAGCACACTTTGCCTTTGAGTAACGTAATTGTTCACTCTACTTTTAATCTCAAACGAATATTCATATGTAATCAATAATAATGTATTAACAAATGAACGTCCCTGCAATAGATGGGAAAAAAAGAGTCATCAACAAAATTTTTCCAGCGCTCTCGTATCAATTTTTAATACACACTCTGAAGTACCCCGAGCGAGCAATCATCACATTTTATTTCAATTTCCCGAGATTTCGTAATTAGAGATAATTTCGTTTCGCAATCCCCGCATCCATACACATCATTAGTTGCATATATGCGCTAAGCTTTTCATTGATGCGAAAAAAAAAAAAAAAAAATCTCCAGCTGTACACGATAGGCTCGCACGAAAAAAAAGGCGATTCGCGCAGCGTTTCGGCAAAGGACTCCCTCCTCCTCGCTCGTTCTCTCTCGAGTTTTCATCCTCGATGTTGTTTGCAATTTAATCCTTTCAGTCACTCGTTATACAAGCGCAAGCGCGCACGTAAAAATTTTCGACCAATCCTCTTTTTTTCCCCACTCCACCTCCCTCCACGTCCTCTCACTCCATAGAGTTAGTTTACAAACACACACATACGGACGGCAAACAGGGACGATTCGATGGACGGATAAAAAGAAAAATAATAAAAAATATCGTGTGTTTTTTTTTTTTGTTTAATCAACGGTCCCTCGCGCTACCACTACAGCACAACAAATACGTATAACGTTCGATCGAATATCGCGCGTACACGGGTGGGCCATCGTTTTATGCCTGAAAAAATCGTCAATGATCGCCGGTGCTATGAAAAAATAGGTGCACGCTCGAACGAAAAAAAAGCCCGAATCTTTTGATCCACGGACGATGGAGCTGCCAAAAAAAAAAAATATAGTTTCCGCTTCGGTTTTCATTTCAGTCGTGTTTATTGCCATTCAAGCCCCGCACCCGGGGGACTCGTTTGATGTGTCAAAAAACACCCGCTTGCATGTTACTTAACCAGCACCGATTGAACAACAAGGCCCGCACCTGCAGTTCGTGGTTGGCATTACATAAAGTACTTGACACTCTTATCGAGACCAACTCGCTTACAATGCACACAAGTGTAGGGTACATCGGTGTATCCACGCATAATAGAGGACGTGCACGGAAAATCGTCCCGACAATGGTTCTCTCCTCGATTGCGCGTCCATACGCCGCACTGAAAATCGCCGACTCGATTAGCCTCGTCGCTCGAAACCCCAACACTCGAGAGCGCTTTTTTTTTTCCTTTCATTGTTCGGTCATCTGGAAAATAATCGCCGAGTGGCATTGCGCGGGACTCACGTTTACAAAAAAAAAAAAAAATCCCTTGGTCGATGGTTGAGCGAAAAAATTCTACCATCATCGAGTGCACGCTATAAATACAGTGCCTGCAACAAAGACGCACTCTACACGCAATATACGCCCAGCGTCATGGAGACGCAAATGGGTACCGAAAGGTTTAAAAAAAAAAAAAAAAAAAAAAGAACGAGCGATGAAAAAATTTGACTGGTAACCCGTTCGGTGGGTAATGCCAAGAGCCGGTGGATGGTGTGACAGAAAGGGGACTCCGCGTAAAAAGGAGGCAAGAAAGAGAGGGCGCGTATAGGTGAATAAACGAGGTGTAACAGTGTGGTGGACGGACAGAGAGAAAGAGGGTGGCCGAGAGATAGAGGGAGAGAGGCAGATATTCGTGCCGATTGGGTGCCATTGTGGGCTCAGGCGCCCCGACAATACCGCGGCAATTGGCTGTCGCTTCCCTCCCTATCCTCCTTCCCTCGACAAAACCGCTAAATGATCCCCGACTACGACGGCGAACGAACACTGTATGTACTCTCTCGCTGTCGCTGCAGCTGATGCACGGCCACTTTATTTCAATCCAAGAGATATATGCCATCCTGCCCTACCAATTTCGGATGCCTGCAAATTACCCCATTTTTGCGACATTAACCAAAGGCCGGGAGGGTGGTGATAGAGAGGGAAGGAGACGAGCCTGTACATGTGTGTGTATCCCCCAGTGTGCCATGTATACGTCGATCGTCGCGTAGTTGCCTTTATCTCTTTTTGTCCCTCCCGAGAGCATCGGGTGCCGTATGTGCTCGCAAATGGACGGCTTTCCGGTGGCCCCGGCGATTTCGAGCCCACGAATCGGTTGCCACGCAGTTGGGTCCTCCTCTGCCTTTTTTCGCCCCCCTCGCTACTGTCCCTGTATGCACTTTGCGCTTCACCCCCCTGCGTGTATGATCTTTGTCTCTCTGTAATACCCGCCAGTCCTCAACTCTCGTGTGTGTGTGTGTGTATGGCTCTTTTGACCGGGAACTCGTCGTATACAATTGTGTCGCAAATTGGAGCAGTTTTCACGATCCCGATACGATGAATGACTTTGCTCTTTGCTGCCCGTTCGCGGATAATGGCTTTGACGATTTTCTACGTGATATTTTACAAATTTGCTCTCATTTGCCGAAACGATCGGTCATTTAATCGTGTAATCCGTCCGTCAATGCGCAACTCTTTTTGGATGACCGTTTCATGAGAATTTCACATGATTAAACACGTATGTCGCAAAAATTTTCGATGATACATTGGCCAATCAATCATATGATTGTGAATACTATAGTTACCAACTCGTATTATCAAAACTCGTTTGGATCGTTTGTCGAATTAGCCGTCAAATTGTCGATTTCACAGCCTCCATGTACACCTCCGCCTCCTATACTATACGTACATAAATTAATCATCGATAAAATACTACTAGTATACTCATTAGAAGTGGCCAGACTCTTTTTTTTTTTTTTTTTTTTTTTTTTTTTTTTTTTAAACCGTGTACGCACACCTCGACCGGCACGTGCTCAATATAAATTCAAAGCCTCGGACAATTTGATAATCGTTCCCGGGGGACATGTAGGGTGTGAGGGACGAATCTGCTGGTACAACACATATACACGCCGCATATGGGCTTCAAAGAGCAGGGAACGACATAACGTAGAGGCAATCGACTTATATATATATACACATACGTGATACCTTTGTACGGCCCCATGCTGGTATACAGGCACCCCGTGAGTATATAAGCTTGGTAAAAAAGCAACGGGGACTTTGCTCGTCTTTCGTCTTTTCTTTTCTTTTTTTTTTTTTATCTTTTTTTCAGTGGCTCCTGTATACTACAGACACTCGCACGCTCGCAACGTAATAAATGGAAACACGAACGGGTATGGGGACGGATCGAGTGGTTTAATTAATCGGGCGTTAAATCGATCGACACTGCACGTGTGTGTGTGTTTGGGGAGGGGGGTAAATTGGGGTGCATGTAAAGTTTGTGCTTATGCAGGTATAAAAATGGTGGAAAGGGGGTTTCAAGGGTAAGGTCTCACCCCCCCTATCCTGCCCCAAGGAATTAAGGATTTTCTATCGCTCTCGTACATGTGATACGGCTCTTTAATTACGCCCTTATAAACACGTGCCTTGTAACTTTCACTAGCACCGGCTTGTTACAAAAAATAAATAAATAAATTAGTATTGAACCTCATCCCAGTTGACAGTACACCATCAAACGAGATGGTTCAATAAAAGACAGCAAACGCTCCACCCTATATTATAGCCTATGCAAAAGTGAATATACACCGAGCAAAAGTTAATCAATCGTACAAATTCTCGTTTGCATGTACACCCCCCCGTATAAGTACGAGTCAATTATTGTCGCATCTCATTGCTTAAGCTCCTCCACAATGTATCACATTGTGCACACAAGTAACCCCCCCCCCAGCACCCCTACTCGTAGCAGATTAAATCCCAACAAAGAATTAATACGCTTGTTTTCGGGCTGATATAATGGAAACTAGATTGTGATGTGCGTGGGTATACGTATAAAGAGTACATCGTGTGCTCACGTGATGCAGGAGCAGGGTGTACCTACGCAGTTTAGAATTTGGCACACGCGCCGTGTATTGTATAGGTGGAGGGCTGCGAAGGGTCGAGAAGGTGAAACAGCTACACCGGTGCCTATACCTACGTGGGATGATTTCGCGCGGACAATAGCGATTGCTCGTCGCCTTCGACTGGCCAATACTGTAATCGTTAAACATACTCGCGGAGCAGTGCTGTATGGGTTGGATGAAAAAAAAAAAGAAAAAAAAAGGGGAGGGGGTAGAAGATGGGAGAAGGGTGAATTACCGCCTTTCCCATTCTGTGGACGTGGATGAAGGAGGAGAGGGGGCCCAAAGTGTTTGGAGGAAATCAGAACAATTGTTAACAATTAGCTTAATCAGCCTCGAGAGTACAGAGCACATGTGAGCTTTTGTTCGCGGAAAGGGGGGAGGGTAGGGAGGGAGGCGCGTACAACAGATATACGTATACACATCTGTTCTGCAGTGCGCCTTCACGAGTACCTTCTTCCAGCCTCAATTATCCGAGTGCTGATGTGCGCTCTTGAGTTATTTATTATCGTGTGCATATACGCATACATCGGGATTTCGAGGAGCTTGGGCCCACATGTGTGCATGTGTGTACGAGGGCGTATAGGTGCGTTGCTAGGCTCCTAGATTGATGCTCCCTCGGCCATTGTATGCGCTGCACAACAAAGGGAAGGGACTTTTTGATTCTTGGAGTGGGCGAAATTTCGTTTGTGTTTTTTTTTTTCCCTTCGCTATATGTACGTGGAGTAGATTAGAGCGCGCAAACTCGCGCCGAGAGATTTATCGTATACTCGCGAGATGGTTTTTGTTGAAAATTGATGGGGAGATCCGAGCAATGGTACGCGAGCTTATTAAGGGATTAGAGAGCGGATGTGCCCGTTTTAATGAACTTCCGTCAGTGCTTGTGGATAATTTAATTTAATATCCCCGCGAGAGGATGGGAGGGTAGTTTTAGCCCTCGTTCGAGGGATTTTAGCAAGGATTTGCGCAGAGCAGTTTCGGGAAACGCAACGGTTGGGCGGTGTTTTTTCATCCGAAAATGTTGTTTGAGGAAATAGATGCGCGTATAGAGTTGGACTGATTTACTCGGTCGAAAAAAAATTGTATCACACCGGAGAGCTGATATTTACTTGTACGCGTTCATACTTTTTTTTTTCAATACTTTCCAATTGCCCCTCGTTGTTTTTTTTTTTTTTTTTTCAAATGGAACATCAGAGGGTATACGACACGTTACACAGCATACATGTTGGAAAAATTCTGTGTATTATCGTTGATATTAAAAAAAACGAATATCTAAAATTAGCAAAGAAAAAAAAAAAGATAGCCCCGTCAAAGCCAGACAAGCTTTGGCAAATGCGCTCACGGCGTCGACACGACTGTACACGACTTAATCGTCGCCTCGAGACACTAAACGAGAGGGTAAGAAGGGAAAACGGGATCAGACTGTCTGCGGAGAGCACAGTTCAGGTGTATATGTATACATACACACACATACACATACGTTGGAGGGGGGCCACTACACGCCGGCTATTCAGGAGCGCTTAAATATAATTAACAGCAATTAGGCAATTGAATCGCCGCGGCGCGAAACAGCTGCCGCCGGGAGTCTGAGCTTTCCACCGGCTGACTCCCTTAATTCCATCTTGACTATGCTGCCTGTGCACGTGTATACACACACACACACCCACCCCCCGAGTATCCGCAATGCATTCAATTCGATCGAGAACACCAGACTACCGTGCACCCTCTCCTTTACTGTCTGTCTGCTGCTTGTATACTAATGGGGAAGGCGTGTACGTGTGCATGGCTCGTGAGATTTACCGCACTGTCTTGATTTCAATGTGCGGAGTGCGTGTATTTGTACAAGGAGATTACGGAATTGGGCTCTGCGCGGATTTCTATTGTTGCTCTTGTGTTGTTATGCCGCGTGTGTGTACGAAAAACAAAGTTTTGTGGTTGCATTGTATCAATTAAAAGGAGAAACAAAGAGAACGAGCGAAATTTCGGGCGAAAATACGTTTTTTTTTTTTTTTTTTTTTTTCCTGTTTTATCAAGTACACAGGTACACTATTCACGATCATCAGGGAGAACCATAGCTCCATTGTGTACTTAATATCATTATTTTGTTATTTATGTACGATGCTTTATTTTACATCCCCAAATGTATCTTTTCTTGTAATAGGTGACAATCAGCATACAGAGACTGTATCAAACAAATCTTTTCATCCACAAACTTATACTCAATAAGAAACGTCAACCCCCGCAGTCTGTTCTTTAAAACCTTTTTTGATTGGATCACTTTTTTTATTCACCCCTAAAATCTTCTTTCTTTATATCAAACACTTCTTTTGTTTTATGAAATTTAAGATTTCGTATCCTCGTGTGGATACGAAACAGATTTACAATATTTATATTAATTATTTGTTTGCCTTTGTATTTTCAGGTGTGGTTTCAAAATCGTCGTGCCAAGTGGCGTAAAAAGGAGAAGGCCTACGGCAGAGACACGAGTTTCATCCACGTCGATCAACCAGGTAAACAGACGGTTAAAAAATTCAATACATTTAATCCGATAACATTGAATATTCGAGCTTCTAAAGTTGCACGAAAAAAAAAGGTCAGCTTGGTCAAATAGAAATGTTATTTACATTCTGTTTACATGCAACAGCTTTTAAGTATTTTGCGTCAAACGTGTCATTGGGTTAAGTATAAATTTACATTTGTCCATACAAAGTAACGTTGCCGTTCCACGTGCAAGTCCTTCACAGAGAAACACCCACTTTTTCAACACGTTATCTTACTAAATTTAACGTGGGATTACCGACGAAAAACAAAGACAGCACTAAACTGTACACAAAAACATAATACTGCGGTAACATATAAGGCAATCGATGCACGAGCCAACGAAAGATTACCCTACATTTACAAATATTGACGTAAATATATAGGCTCGCGATTGATTCGGAATGTATTTTTACCTCGGGCGTGATCACGGGCTAAAACTAGTACGTATCCTCTATGCTCGATACATTAGCTCGAACCCTCACTTACGACTCTGAGCCCCCCTTTTTTTTTATCTTTGACTGCACAGGTGCACTGAGAGAAAAAAAAAATAACTATGCTAGAACGGTAATCTGGTAGTTTTCGGTCGTCTAGAGATTTTTTACTATTTAAACAATTGTTTTTAATATTTAGAACAGTTATTTTTGTTGTAAGTATAGTGATTTTTACTGTTTGTGCGATAGAAATTACTGTCCAGAAAATTGGTAAAAATTATGTTGACCAAAGTACCAGATTATAGTGATTACCATTCTAGCACAGTAATTTTTTTCTCTCAGTGTACGTATATACATATAGTGTACGTATGCATATGCACGCCCGTGTATATACTCGGATGGGAAATCACGCAAGACACCCGAAATTACGGTAAAAAGGACAAAAGAAAACAGACACCAAAAGTCCCATTGATGGAGGTTGCGTTGAAAAATTTATCGGAAAATAATGAATACCACGAAAGAAAAAAAAAAAAAAAAAGAATCAGCCCGCAATTAATGGTACCTAAACTCACGCGCTTGCCAGTGCCCCTCACCCCTACGTGTAGAGCGCGAGTAGGTGAGATACCAAATTGATAAGATCTGGTACAATTACGGCTAATTCGACCGGCGCCGCGAGACAAGAATCGTCGCAAAGGGCCAGCCCTTTTTTTTTCCTCTCTCTCCTCGCTTCTTTCACGTGTATAAGCCGTGCATATACCCCGGTGGCGGTGGGCCGAGGGATAAAAGGTTTCCGGTCGTGCATGTTTCATCGGGCCATGCGTTAAACAGCCAATTTCGTTCGACCCCCTTTTTTTTCACTTCTTTCGCTATTGTTCCTTCACCGGAATAGCTGACCCTTTCGTCGTGTACGCATGTGTGCACAGAACTCGAAAAGTGCAGCGCGTACAGGTTTCGTGCGACCCATTGTATCAATCCGCCGTAGAGTCTTTGGATTTTCAACTAGGATTGACACACGCACCACGAATACCTCGTTTTTATTAATGCTTACACCGATGGAGATAAAAAAAAAAAAAAAAAAAAAGGAAAAGAAATGTTTTTCAACAGGGAGTAAACACTCAATACGATTTACTGGAACCTACCGTGAATATATATACAAGTAATGACGTCTTTGCCTCGCGATTATTAAATTATTAGCCCCAAGGTTGATCGTAAAACACACGTGACGCTTCTATACGTACACGCCGTCGTAAAAGACAGCCGATTGCTCTATTTCTCTACATATGCATACTCGTGTTAAACTGAAAGCATTGGCGAGTTAAATGCCGCGAACAATGCAAAATGGTGGAGGAAAAGTATAGTCGCACGGTTTATTTTATTTCAAAGAGGGGAACAAAAAAAAAAAAAAAAAAAAAAAAAAAAAAAAAAAAAAAAAAAAAA